ACCTCCCTCACAAGACCAGTTTGTGCCTGCACTCCCCCGCCTGCTTCTTTGGTGTCCTCACTCCTGTACCCAATGAAGTCCCCTTTATTATTGTGACCCTCCTCCTTTGTCGCATTTTGGGTCTGCTTCCTCAAACTTAGGAGCTCCCTCCTAACATAAAGTTTCACACTCGTAAAAGAGTCTCTGTGTCAGTCATTCTAGTGTAGAGGTTAAATGAAGAAACCAGTGTAGATTATCCTCTATAAGACTGTTTTTTTCCTCACACCGTCTCGTGCTTAGACATGTCAGCCAACTCAACAACTAAACTTCTTCAGCTGCTTCCTGACTTCCTGCTTACCGTTCACAGATATTTTATGAAACCAAACTACTACTTGACAGACTGAAAACCAAACAAAACAAAAAAATCCTATTACCCCCCACACAGCCTGCTATTGGCATCAACGCCCTGTCACACTTGAACTTGTTCTATGGCACTTATCCAGACTGTTTTTCTCCTGACTTGATCCTTGCTTCTGTTGTATCTGCTCTCAGATGTAAAGTCACTTTGCATAAAAGCGTCTACCAAATGAAACTGTGGAATCAATAGATATTTAATAACGTAAACAATGATTAGGCGCAGTACTAATGCAACAGTCTGTCTGTGATAAACGTCTGTATAAATTTATTTGAAGCTGTCAGTAATACAAAGTAGCTCAATGTATTTATTCAAGTACGATGTCTAATTATAGTTTTGAGGTGGTTGTACTTTATCTGAGTATTTTCATGCTATGCGCAGGAGTGTCAGTGTGTACTTACCTGTGTGCGAGTCAGCGCAGGTAGAGCAGGATTCAGGAGGTGAAGTAGCTTTATAAGCAGCACCGCAGAGTGTGAGCCGACCTGCTCAGACAGGCAATGAAGCAATATAAAGATATGGAGTCAAGCTGCCAACAATCACATTGAACACAAACATACACTTAAATGACTGCAAAGACATGCAAAATGCATCACATTCTGCAGCCTGGAGCTCCCTGTATCACCACCAGGCTTCATCCTTGCTCAGAAACACAACCTGATGCTTTTTTCAGTCCATCTCAAGTGTTGGAAATGTAGGAAATATAGATACATCAGTAAAGTGTGTCCTCTCCTGGAACCGTTCAGTCATTTGGATCAGCTGGAAGTAACTTTGTCTATATTTAAAATAACTTGAAATTTGTCCAAAAAGACTGGAAAAATGTTCAAAATGAATCAAACTGCTTGCAAAACTACTTAAAAATGGCCCAAAATTGACACCAAAGTTGCCCAACAATATTCAGTGTTTGTCCAGAATTACTTAAAGTCAGGGTTAGGGTGAAGATTTAAAGTTTGGCCTTGCGGGGTTTGTTGTTAATGGAGAGAAATCGAAATTGCAACTTCTGCAACTTCTTTCAAATGATCAGGCGCAGGACTTAACCAGTTCAAACACCTTAAAGAATGAAATCAGAGTTTTAAAAAGCAGATAAAGTGATTGTAGAGCAACAGGACGTCTGTACAAAATGTACGTTTACAGCTAACAATAAACACTTTTTTCAGTTACATTTAGGACGGAACAGGAAAAACATGATCTGATGTAATGCTGACTCCCTCATGAAACATCTGAGACTCAACAACAATGTCTGGACCTGTTCCAGAGGTTCCAACTTGTTGTGAAATGCTCCATACAAGAAATGAAACCTAAAGTTTGACTAGTTTTAAAAACTGAATAAATTAAATCATTGTCAGGAGACACGTTCCTTCACAACGTGTCCCAGTAGCAGCTGAACCAGAACATGTGAGTTGATGCTGATTAAAGGTGGAACTTGCTGGTAGGGTTTTGGTGTTCAAAGGGTTAATTTGAAACAGAAGAACCACCTTAAATCCATAAATGGTAATTAGACATTAAACTGTACAGTAGATTTCAGCAGGTTTATTTGACTAATGTCATTTACACAGAACTGACAGATCAATGTTCCTGTCACCTGTACATTACATTTTAGTGTTTCAGTAACCAGAATACAACCTTTAGATAAATATATTAGTATTTTGACGAAATATCACAATTTTAAGCACGGACGAGACATCTAGCCTTTATAATGCATATCTATGTTTACGACGCCAATATCCGCCAGTCCACTTGGTGGCGGTAATGTGCCTTAACTTGGTTTGCCAACCGTCATTAAATCTCATAGAAGAAGATGATGATAAGTTTCCACCAGTGATCGTCTGGGAAGATTAACGCTCTGTGAGTTGCTGATTTTTATTATCCACAGAAAGTGTAAATGCATGGTTTCTTGTGTTTCTCGTCAGTATAGCAGCTGTAAACTCGTCTAGAAATCATGACACAGCTGCCTGAAAGCGACACATTGCGTCGAAACATTTGACACGATCAAAGAGCTCCATCTGCTGGTTGTAGGTGTGTGACGTATTAGAAGGGAAGCATTGACAGCGCGTCCACACTTCACGTATTTCTGTTTCAGAGTGTCTCATCTTTGACTAAGTGTTCAAGGTTTAAAAAATGGCCAAAGTTACTTCATTTATCACAGCTACCAACTGTAAAACTAGAAAACATTATGGGATGTTTGATTTTCCAGCGTTCCTTGAACTACTCATCTGCAATGTGTGGTTTCATGTGAAAACTTGAGCAAAGTTTAAAATTGTGCTATTTTATCAAAATCACTTTATTCTGCAAGTCACTTTTTTTTTTTTTTTTTTAAATAAAAAAGACCAACAACATAGGGTTTGTTGTGGTGATGTTTCTGTGCAAAACAAAAAGTTCATGGCTCTTTGGTGCCATTAAGGTGCAGGACTTTACACTGCAGTAAAAAGGATCCCACAGTGAATAAAAGTGTAATGGGAGCAAAATAGAAGGTTTGGAGTTGGAGGAGAATCACACTTGATTTTTATGTACAAATGGACCCTTTTTCTGTGACTAGAGTAGTATTCTGGATATCAAGTCACTGAAAATGATAGAGAAATCAGAAAACTTGAGATGTGATGAAATGTTTGTGCATGTGAAGCTAATTGTTGCTGTTCTAGATACAGACTGGCTACTCTCTGCTGAGCATGGTATGGGCTCCACAGCTCACAGCGCTTTCAGTCAGATTACAAGATTTAAGAATCCAGCATGTTTTCAGACATGCCGTTAACGAGCGTGTCCTCTCCTCTCTGGATGCTATAGACCTGTGATGATGCTCGCAGAACCAGGCAACACAGCGGACTGTTGGCTCGCCGACGACGATGACGACGACCTGGTCACTGAGGCAACAGGTGAATCTGTGCGTGGCCTGAGCCAGAGCGCAGCAGACCTGCTGGTTTATCAGAGACAGGTAAGAGCAGCTCAGTACACATCCCAAAAAGCACTGCTACACATTAAACACTCATGTTATGGGCAAGTTTTTCGTTAGCTGGAAAAGACATGCTTGTGCACGTAAGTATTTTGAAGTGGCGTTAGACAGGTTTTTGTTGCTTTGACTTATGCTTTGACTTTAACTCTGTAACTCTGCCCACCACCAGGAAGGAGATCTCCCTGGAAACACTTGATTCATGATTCAAAGGATCAACAGAGGAAATGTGGAGGGGGAAAAAAAAAGCCATAAAGAAAAAGGAGTCCCGTTGTTGGAAGAGGCAAACAAGGAGAAGAGGTACTGACAGTCAGCGACATTGACTTGACAGTATTTCTTCAACATGAGTAAGAAAGCCTGCCTACTTATCCATACAATCAGCTGTTTTACTCTGCCTTCCTCACAGCACTGACATCTAGTGTTTGTAGTGTAAGACTCACATGGTTGTGTCTTACTTCAGACACACTAAAAACAAATGTTGAAGCTCAATAACAAATATTCTTCATCAGTCTCATTAAGTTTTACAACTCCTAATTCAATTCTATTCAACTAACTAGAAAAAAACTCAGAGCGCAGACCTCGGCCAAGCAGCTCCTTCCACCCATACTGTGATTTCCAGCCAGTGTTAAGTCCTGCATTCATTTTATCTACACTATTAGATTGATGGGTAATCAAAACATAGCTTTAGCATTTGAATTAACATTGATATCATTAATAACAAGCTGACGGAGTGGTGAGCGGTCATTCTGTACTCTCAAATGTTTTGTGCACTTACGTTATTTCTGCAGTTACTGGTTTTTAAGTTGTTAGTTAACGCTATGCTAGGTTGGCATAACTACAGCGATGTTATCGCAAACATAAAGAGACAGGTAACTGACAGGTCACTTGTCATGCAGCAAAGAGAGTTAAAGTGAAACAGGAGACGTGTGTCAGCAAACTCTGCTCAGCCCACTCCTGCAGTGCTGCCCGGCTGCAGCTTCCTCCTGTACTACTGAGAAGACAGCGGTGAGGACTGAATGGAGTCAGAGCTCTGTCTAGTGGACAAATGGCGCGATGACAGCATTCTGCGCGACTGTGACACTTTTCAGCATTTACTGTTTTATGAGAAAATAAGCAGGTGGTATACCAGAACATCAGCAAAATGTAATCATCTGTTCAGTGTGCCATTATCAACATTTCCTGAAAATTTTATGAAAAGCTCTTCATAACTTTGAGTAATCTTGCTAACAATCAAACAGACAATCGCTGGCTAAAACAAAACCTCCTTGGTGGAGATAGTAAAATATACCGAGTTGGAGGAATTTGTCTTTCCTCTCAAATCAAAGGTATTTTCACTGACTGATTACTTATTGATTAGTAGCGTAGACCAGCAGTTTGTTCCATACCTCCTTTTCCTCAGCTGTGTTGATGGTTTTGTTGTTGTTGTGTGGCTGTTGAAAGGCTCTGAGCGAAGCAGAAAGAGATGCGGGTGTTGCCGCAGCAGCACCGACAGTAAAGTCACTTGGAAACGATGGAGTGGCTTGAAAAGGTGTCTGTTGCTACTTCAGCATGCTTTAAAGCTCCCACTCTATTTGTGTTCTTTTCAGCACTGAAGGCGGCTCACAGCTGGGGCACATACCTGGAGGACGCTGCAACATCATCCGTTTTTGTGTTGTTTTAGAAATACAATTGTTCAGATAATACATCAGGACATGTTAATACATCCATATGTTCTGTCACGTACATACAACAACAGCTGAATTATAAGAGGGTCTAGTTTTCTATTTAGAACAGCTGCCTACAAAGGAGATTTGTTGGTGATTGGTTTCTTGCCACAGAACACTGTTACAGCTTCTACCACAAATCAACGTTGTCCATCCACTGGCTGATTCAAGGACCTACAAAAGTAAAGCAAACCTGCTTACAGTCTATTACTGAACCTGATAACCAGCACTTTCAGGCTATTTGAGAATAAACTGAATATAAAACGTGTCACTCTGTGCTCTTGGCAAACTAAGGTCATCATATTTTTAATTTACTTTTCTTGAGTTCAATTCCATGTGCAAGGATGGTATTATTCAAAAGCCAAAATGATCTAAATGTTTACAAATCAATGTGTGTGGCCTGGTCATAAAGGATACCAATGAGATGATTTTATGTGGGTTTTTGTTTTCCCACTGAACGTTTTAGATAAATCAACAGTATTGACTTCGTCATTTTGAGGACAGGTGATGAGCTTGGGACAAAACGGAAAGCTTTCTTTTGTTAATCAACTTCCCTCAGCTCGTCCACATATGGTCTCGGTTCTTAGCTGCTGGACAGCTGAGAGTTATACTTTACAAGACAGTTGCCACAATATTACATGCTTTAGAAGTGCTATATAATAGGTATTATTATTATTGTTAGACGACTAAGAGTGGTCTTGTAGACAACAGAAGTGTTTCTGTTTTTAGATAAAGGAAATAAAATACAATGCAAATAAGCACATTTGCCAAGCCACAAAGTTCACAAGATCCTTTCATGTTGAAAGTGTAGAAAGTTTGTATAATGGGCAAAATACTTTTTCTCAAATACATGAAAAAAAAGAATGCTAACTCACAAAGCACAGCAAAATGAAAAGTTTCGCAAAATATTCAATACACATCAACATGAGCTGATTCCCTCCTTCAGTGTACTTGAAATCACCACTTAGCCAGAGAGGTGATTTCCCAACATGGTGGAGAAGTTACGCAATAAACTCTGTCCAACAATAACAGTGTTTGTCCAATGAGAAAAATCAGCAAGAATTAAAACTCATCCTCTGTTGCTCATCAGTCTCATAGCTCACTCATTCAATCTCATCTGCTGACACTTCTAACCATTTTTTGTGCTTTGTCAACATTTACATGGATATTTCTCTTTCATAAGGGCGAATTTGGCCAATAGCCCAGATGTTCTGCGCCTCGTGGATATGCAGATGGTGTTTTTGTTGGTCTATTCTTTCCTCTTTTTTTGTGAGTTTTTGGGATCCGACACTGTTGAGCTGTTGAGCCATGGCTCTATTGTTTTACACGTGAACAGCTGTTGGCGCTGAGCCAGGCCAAGCCACTATCGTGGGAGAGACCGGAGGTCCCTGATGAGCTCTGCATTAGGAAGAGGGGATGCAAGGCAGGAGTGAAGCATCGGGAGAAGAGGAGATGCTACAGCTGTCCGTCCATCATTGTGGGAAACGTGAGGTCTCTCCCTAACGGATGGAAGAGCAACAGCGCTGAGCCGGCTGCAGTGGGAGTATCGGGAGAGCAGCCTCATGTTGTTCACAGAGTCATGGCTGAATGAAGTCACTCCAGACTCGCTGGTCACTTTGGACGGATTTCACCTGGTCAGAGCGGACCGGAGCTTGAGGGAGAGAGAGTGGTGAGAAGAAAGGCTGGGGATTTGCCATGCATGTGAATGAGAGATGGTGTAATGCTGGGCACGTTAGTGTTAAAGAGATGCTGCGGCCTGTGAACTCATCCATAGTTGAGTGTCCCAGCTGCAAACATCACACCCTCAGTCTCAGGAGACTTTAATCATACATCGCTCTCTAGCACTCTCCCCACATTCAGCCAGTGTGTGGACTGCCCAACTGGAGATGGTGGGGCCTTGGACCTGCTGTGTGTGGACACCGGGGATGCGTATGACTTAATTATTGTTATTTTCTTGTACTTTCTATATTTTTGGATGCTGCTGTGGCGTGTAAATTTCCCCCAATGGGGGATCAATTAAAAAAGTATTCTGTTCTATTTTTTATTATGGACCTCCACTTCTGTGGCTCAAGTCTATACACAGATAGACAGATAGATAGATAGATAGACAGATAGATGACTTCGATTTCATGCAGGTCATGGTCATGCCCCCTATAGCCTTGAAACAGCGCCACCAGCCCATTGCCAAACGATGACATAACAAGGTTGTACACAGCCGGACTTCCTGTTACCCACAATACCAAGGGGCAGCTTGAGCGGACAACAGTCGATTGCGCAACACCAAAAGTTCAGCATATGAAAAGATATTAGTCTCGTTCTATGGAACCGTTTAGCGGTTGCTTCATGTGGCGCACTGGTACCGCGGCGTGCTTTCATGCATATGAACTGAGCCCTGTTATGGTATTAAGGTAAGTAAGTTACAATTTACAGTGGCGGAGCTCAGGTCATATGCATCAGAACACGTGGCGGCAGCAGTTGACGTGGATACATGAAGTGACCGTGTTTTTTGCCAACATTTATGTAAATGACAATGACCCAGTAGCCGGCGCGAACCGCGAAGCACCAGGACGCCGGTTCGATCCCCGGTGAGGGCGCTGGTAAACAGCGGCCCAATAATACGAATACGCGGCTTATTCCAGGCGTGGAGGAAACGGAGCAGTTAAAGTAAAGTAAAAAAAAAAACAAAAAAAACAACAACAACAACAAAACAAACACTTGGCTAGTAGCTACAGAGTATCTACTGTGTACAGTACCGCTATGTACAGATCATACATGTACACAATCCTGGACTGTTACACAGGTTAAATATAGACTATGTATCTGTTAAACTACCTCCAGAGTACATTTAGCTGTTGGGATTAATGTGGTAGTAGTAGCAGTATACATGTACATAGATCCTGTGACGCACAGACTACACCTATACTACTGCATACTACTGCTACTACATTAGTCCTAACAGGTAAATATACTCTAGATGTATTTTATAATACAGTATGTGTTGCGCCCCTGAATAGGGGTGGCTGATAAATACAGAAGAAATAATCACAACAGTGATCAAGTGGCGTTTCCTCAGTGAGTGACTTCACTGGAATGCAATGATGAACATACATTATTATTCACATAATATTTAATAACAACAGCGCGACTACAGCGCGTCCAAGCTAATGTGGCTAAATCGCGAGGCAAAGGCTAACGCCTCTGTTGACCGGGACAGTACACTTTCTCACAGCAAACACTACAATGCAATTTCGACACTGAAACACTCTAACAGTATGAACACCGGTTTATAAGTGCTACAGCTTCAGTCAGTGAGACAACAAACACTACATACCTGATAAATACAGAAGAAATAATCACAACAGTGATCAAGTGTCGTTTCCTCAGTGAGTGACTTTACTGGAATGAGGGAAGCGCCACTGATTCCTGGAGTGACAAACTGCAGGCAAAAGCAATCGATCTCAGACTGACGGCCACTTAACAACACACTGAGAGCAGTGCATATTTCAACTTGTCACATATGTATGGTGTAATATGTTGAAGATCATGTGACATGATAGAAAGCTGCAGACTGAACCTCAATATGAAACTACAACATAGAAAATAGAAATTCTAAATCATTAAAAGTGTTTAGAGACTTTGCTTTTGGAGTCTCATGAGCTCAGTTTCTTCCAATTTCTGGTTTTACTGTATCCAAAATAATCAGAGACATTTAAATAAAAGTATTTAACGTTTTTATTTGGTCACTTAAGAGATTATCAACATGCAAATAAATATAAATGTACCTGAGGTATCCAGAAGGCTCATTTTTACAGTACATCCCTTCTGACAAAGTGAACAGTTATAGTACAGCATGTATATCAGGTAATTCAGTCTATGTTCTCATAAAAGCTCACACAACACAAATTAAAAGCATATACATTGAACAAAATAGTTAAATACAACACAACTCAGTCAAAAACACAGATTTATTATGATTCTAATTATTATTAAATGTGGAGGATAACAGCATCACTGTTGTTGGTTCTCAATGAGCCTTTTCTTAAAATTGTAAACAGATAAATAAATAAGACGATGACTCTGTAATTGATTGTGGTTTTGAATTCCATTGATGTGATGCTCTCTGTAAACCATATATTTGATGAGGGCTGTGAAGCGGAATTAAATTCATTAAACTATATGAACTTATAACAAGGAAAAACAGACAAATCAAATTAAACACAATCACAGGACAGTGTTACGGCGTGGCTTGTGCATGACCAGCAGCAGCAGCTGAAAGAAAAGAAACAGAAACAACTTTTAAAAGGATGTTTTCAAAGATGTCAGATTAAACTTGTGGAAAATAGAAATTTACATGAACATCATTCCATCTCAAATCATCAAGTTTTTAAATCGTTTGTGGTCAACCAGCTCTGATATGCCTGTAGTCGTTCTAATGTAAAATATGTATATTTATAAAGACGTTTGTGAAATGTAAGCTTGATATATATCAAAACATTTCAAATATTTCCTAAAATTACTCGTCAGCCCACTTTCAGCAGATTTTTTTCTCTCATTGAAATTTGAGGCTGTTTGCACAACAATATCTGAGAAACTATTAAAGATAAAAGCAACGACACCAAACAGTTTTAAATGTGAGGATTTAGTGCTTCTGCTAATCATCGTTAAAGGACTGTTGGTCGAATGAATAGATCTCCTTTGGCTACACTGGAGAGTGTTCTCTGTTTTCTGACACAATCAAGAAAAGAAATAGAAAGTGAGTCAGTAATAAAAATAATGTCCTTGTTTATAATGTTTTGGTTTTTTTTCGTGTCAGTCAGTATCTCCTGGTTTCTGACCAGGGTGGACAACTAAAGGAAAAATGTGATCGCTGCTGCAGCTTCAAGTATGAGGATATTTTCCAACAGGGAAGTTGGAGACGAGCTTTAGCGTCTTATGAAGAGCTGAAAGTGGAATGATGACATGAAGAGGAGTTTGTGAAACAGGATGACGCAGCTATGAAACAGTTTTTTTAAAATCAGCTTTAAATGTCTGAAATGTTCCAACATCCTCTGACAGGAAGCTGAAACTTAATTCAGTGATAGCAGAGTGTTTATTTGAGTCAGTTTTTCACACACACATCAGCTTTATTTAACCCTCCATTGAGACAACAAGATGAGAAGTTTAAGATGTTTAACTTGCACAACAGCATCATTTGCAATATTACATTTCTCAATAGTTGGCGCAATATTAGTTTCAGTGCAATAGTTTTCACGGGCAATCATCCATCATCATTTGTCCTACTTCACTACCTCACTTTCACTGCCAGTTCTCACTTTACTATTCTAGTTTTATTTAGCTTAATTCTTTTTATTGTCAGTAATGTATCATAGTTCTAGCTTCCTGCTTTTTCACTAGTTACTGTATTTCTCCTGTCAAGTTATTTTTTTTTTTTTTTTAGCAACATCTGGCAAAGTGATTTACTTCAGTATTTCTAAAGTCTTAAAAGCGTATCTGACTCACCTGCTGTTTTGCTTCCTTCAGCTTTCTGCTGCAGTTTTCTTGCAAGCAATGTTCTGTGAAGATAGATGTAAAAACAGAGTCACTGAGGAGTTCCAACTTTTAAAACATAATAACTTTAATTTTAAAGCACTTTTTAAAATAATTTACAAAATGTTTTAGTGAAATGAAAGCAACCTAAAACATGTGTTATTTAGTCATAAAATGGAAACTCAGAGTCCCCAAACAAAATGTTTAAATGTGATTGTATAAGTCTAATGTTTGTTGTTGTTGGAGGTTTATTAGAATTTAATTAAATCGTAAAGGTTCACATTTCCTCATCAGATGTCATGAAATGTAGTTTTCATCACATGAAAGTTAAGGTATAAACGAACATGTCGAAGATTCAGATGAGCCCAAAATACGACAGTTTTTTTGGCAGCTACTAAAAGAATCAATGTTCACAGTAATGAAAGTTGAAAGAACTGGACTATAAGAGATGTGCTGATAAAATTTTGTAAAATACTTTTTTTTTTAAAATGAAAAGACATTTTAGGGTTTGAACTTGTCAGTGGTTTGGTATAGAAACTGATTCCACTGAAGAGGATTAAGGAGGATCTGTTGTTGTTTCTGGTATTCCTTTATCATACATTAACAAAAAAAAGTACTTTAATATAGATTATATATTGTATTGTATTTAAAATAAAATGGATAACACATGCAAGTTAGGACCACAAATATCTCTAACAAAACATCCTCCAGGAAGCCCCTTTGAGTTATCAGAGGTTCCTTTGGCAACCTGCTCTCGCAGTTCTCTGAGGATCTCCTGGTTCTAAAGAGCAGGTTGAAGGTGATGCTGGACATGTTGAAGCTAAACTTGTGATTCCTTCAGTGTAAACATGCAGTGTTAGATTTTATCCGTTTGGCTCTTAGTGACGCTGAAACGTGATCTGGGAGGTTCTGTGTTTTCTGTGTGTGTGTTTGAATTCCTGCACAGAAGTGAGCAGGAAGTGAGAGTGATGAGTGTTCTGGAGGTGAAGGTTACCTTTTGATGACAACCAACGCTACAACGACTAAGAGAACCGTGTGCAGAGTGAAGAGAACCACACGAGAAACCTCCATCTCATCCAGTGTTCCACCAGATTCTCCTGTAAAAAATCACACTGTTCTTAGTACAGAGCTCTGTTCTCAGGAATCAGAGGAATCTGTGCAGGTGCTCTGCTGCCAGTCATCATTTAAGTCGAAAAGTACAAGAAGACATGAAATCACCACAGATAGATGCAAAACATGACAGACTGAGTGAGTTCCACTGTGGACTGTTCAACATCATGTTTCTGTCCACTGAATGACCCACAGGAGAAGAGTTTCTGATGCTGTTTAACTCTTAATGTTCAGACAACCGGCACAGAGTCACAGAGGAGAATGAACACGGTGCTTCTAAACTAGTTCTCTCTGATTTAGTTGTGAATGTTTATTTGGACTTCAGGGATAATGAATCTAAAATTATGTGTTTCATGTGTTCATTTTTGACTCTGCCAGGACTGACTTTCATGCAGCTTTCCCTTTATGTGATGAAGTGTTTTTGCTTCACGTCTCTGCCTCTGAGCCTCAGTTATAGTTTAAGTCTTCACAGCTGGAAACCACTAAATGTAGCCTCAAGTATAACATCTGCAGCTGCACAAAATACCGCTTCAGCATCGACATTGTGTTTTACAGTCATATGACAGGAGGACGAATGACTTCAAACACATCATGAATAAGGACTAACAGTACTCATTTTCCATAAATTATCGACAAGAAAAATCTGGTTTACAACATAAAATGTATCCATCCAATAATTTATGTGTCTTCAGAGATGCTTTAAAAAAAACCCCCAAAAAACAAACTCTGTTTAAGAATCAGAGTTAGTTGCCAAACTCCTCAAACCAAATGAGCAAAAAAGTCACCTAAAATCTGTAAAACCGTTGCCAGTTCCTGCCACTTAGTCTGCACGATGAATTATAAAATATGGATCTTTCCATCGATAGAAAGTCAACTTTGCTTGACAAGGCCTCCAGATTTAATGAGCTGAGAAAGAGGAAAGTGAGGAAACCGACCTCCTTCCAGCTGTAGACTGAACGGCGCCGAAAGCGAGTTCATGTTCGCCCTCAGAGTGCAGGTGTAGTTCCCAGAATCGCTTGCAGTCAGGGGGCCGATCTGGAGGGCGGTGCCAGATCCTGAGAGGATGCTGCCATCTTTGAACCAGGAGACCTCCAGCTGGTGGAAGGAGCAGCGTGAAGTGCAGTGCAAAGTGACAGTTTCACCTCTTTCAAACTTGGTGTCACTGCTGGAGTTCACTTCCATTACAGGTTCAACTGAAACACATTTTAATGTCACATTAATACTGATGAACGTTCCCCTCACTGCTTCAAATTACTACATTCAGGAAATACTCTGCAAAAATTTATATTGTTATGAACTATGCTTTGGGCTGCAAGGTGGCTCGGTGGTTAGCACTGTTGCCTCGCACCAAGAAGGTCGCCGGTTCGCGTCCTGCTGCGGACACCCGGGATCTTTCTGTGGGGAGTTTGCATGTTCTCCCTGTGCAGCGTGGGTTCTCTCCGGGTTCTCCGGCTTCCTCCCACAAGGTCCAAAAACATGTTGAGGTTAGTTGGTGATTCTAAATTGTCCATAGGTGTGAATATGAGTGTGCTTGGTTGTCTGTCTCTAAGTGTGGCCCTGTGATAGACTGGTGACCTGTCCAGGGTGTCCCCTGCCTTCACCCTGAGTCAGCTATGATAGACTCCAGCCCCCTGCGACCCTAGTGAGGATTAAACGGTGTATAGATAATGGATGGATGGATTATATTTGTTGCAAATTCTCAAATAAAAAAAAAAAATCTGCAACCATTTTGATAATTGTTTCATTTTTATTTCTTGTTTTAAATATAAGAGATTACTGCTTTTTTTGTCATTAATGACAATAATTGAATATGTTTAGGTTTTAGACTCAAAAAAGAGATCATTTTGGATGGATTTTTTTTACTTTTTAAAAATTGGCATTTGATATTTCACAAGAGGAGTCAGCAGATTAATCCGTCCATCCATTATCTATACACCGCTTCATCCTCACTAGGGTCACAGGAGGCTGGAGTCTATCCCAGCTGACTTAGGGTGAAGGCAGGGGACAGAACATACAAGCTCCACCCAGAAAGATCCCGGGCGTCCTAACCGAGACACGAATCGGGGATCTTCTAGCCCCCAGGCGATGGTGCTAACCAACAGGTGAATTATTTATTACAACCTCCCAGTCAAACAGTTCTGATCATTTAAGGAGCTGCTACAATCTGATAATGTGCTTGTCTGTCTCTGTTTCTGAGTGGTTGTAAATGGGTTTTTGCTTGCAGCAGGTGGTTGTTGTAGCAGAGGCTCACATCTCACCAACATTGACTTTCACCCCTGATCGTCCTGTGAAATGACCGCTTGGCACATTTGCTTCCATTCTGAAGCGAAAGGTTGCGTTGTCGCTCTTCTGTACTTTTTCGATCTGTAAAGTGCAGTTTTCCTCCTTGTCTCCCAGGTATTTGTAAACAGGGCTGTTGTTTGCAGACTCGCTGTCGTATACAGACGGAGTGTGACCCTGACAGATCTCATGGTTCTTACACCAGATCGCTCTGATGATCGTTGCTCCAGTAGATGGGGTGAAGGTGCAGGGCAGGGTGACCGTGGATCCCTGTGCTGCACACACATCTCTGTATTTATACTTCACAGACTGACCCACTGCACCTGGATTAAAGAAAAACACATTGCTTTGATTTAGTGTGAATACTGTAACGTTCAAAAAACAAAAAATGGTGAAAACAACAGTAAACACATGCAAAATATTGGTATTTTAAGCTGATTTGAATACAACAAAAGAGTGCAATTTTCTGGTCACACATTGAAAACAAATGACTATTTGTAAAAATACAAAAAATCTGTAACACAGAAAGACGTTATGTACCATCTGTAAATTCTGAATATATATAATTTTATTCCAGGTAATAGCAAATATCTGTAAAATAACAAGATTTTACTTTAAATACATAAAAAAAGAAAAAAGGTGTAATTTTACAGTCAGTTCTTTGTTTTAGAGTTAACATATTTTTTCTGTCTTCCTATTATGGGGACTTAGCAGAACAGGAAAAATCTGTAAAATAACAGGTAAACAGTTATTTTCCATCTTAAGATCTGTATTTTCAGATATAAACGAAATATCTGTAATACAACATTATTTTTGCGAATTTATATATATAGTAAAGTCATGTAGTTTTGAAGTAAAAGAATAAATTGCTATTTATAAAAATACATATTTTTGATGTGGATGTTATGTACAGTTTTATTTTTACAGTCAACATGTAAATTATTGTATTATTTCTATTCTTTTTTACTCGGTATTATCAGTGAAAAAGATATTTACCATTTTTTATTCCTAATATAATTTTTTTCCCTCTCAAATAAACTCTATCTCAAGTATCTGTTAAATCACAATATTGTTGCTGATTGAAATGCATGAAACGATGTGTAAGACAAATGAGTTAAAAATGATTTCACTAGTTTCACAAACTTGGCAAAATCTGTCAAATAACATTAATTTGTTGAAAACATTAAAAATGTTTATTTTTGTTGTATTCTGTAGTAAGTGTGAGAATATTTAAAAAGCAGAAGTTTGAGACACAAAAGGGAAGAAAGATAAAAATAACTGCAGAGTTTCTGAGCTGCTGCTTCACAAACATTTGATCACATGGATGTAAAAACCAAAGAGCCAAGTAAAACTACGTATGAATATACGAACATGTTACCTGCCAGCAGAAACAGGAGGAGGAACCAGAGAGGCTTCATGTCTTCTGATGTTTTCTTCGACTTCAAACTGAAACGGCAGCTCTGATGGTTCAGCTGCTGACTGACAATCTGCTCTTATTAAAGTCTCTGTGGTCACTGTCTGACTTCCTCTTCTGATCTCTACAAACTACTTTTTCTTCCTGTGTGTCTTCCTGTGTGTCCACATCTTTGTTTTTGTCACTGTGTTGCTTATTTTCCTCAGAAACCAGAAGTGTTGTGTGACGCAGACGATCTGATTTTGTAGAATAACAGTGAACACTGAGACTTACATCACTTGATCGTGAATTATGTAGAAACACAAGTTGTTGTGTGTTTTGTGGCGGCTGCTATTGTTCCGCTGTAACATTAGAAGAGACTACATCATTATCAAAGCAAAATTTGATTCATTCATTAAGTCTGAAATGTGAGAACGTCTGTGTCAGCGGTAATAACGGTGCTGAACCTCAGTGTTAAAGGAGCACTGGAGCTAAATATTAAAATAAGCTCCAGTGTTAAATGTTCTGTCATAAGATGTCTGTGAAGATCCTCAGTCATCCAGGTCATGGTTGTTCTGGTGGATTAGTCGTAGCAACTGGACTTGCTTGAATTCCTTGAAGACGTTTCACCTCTCATCCAAGAGGCTTCATCAGTTCTGACTGACTAGTTGGGAGTTCCACATAATGACATCCTTAACACCTGAGTTTCGGTTTCAGTTGGGGGTTTGAACTGATGAAGCCTCTTGGATGAGAGGTGAAACATCTTCAGGGAACTCAACAAGTCCAGTTGCTACGATTAATCCACAAGAATAGTTGTGTTCTAAGTTTTTTATGTCAGGGAATGGGGTTTTGGGGGTGTTCGTGTTCTCCTGCAGGTTTTCCACCAGAGGGCGTCCTGGAGACCTCCTGCCCTGCCGGGGCTTATTCCCTGCAGGTGTGTTGTCTACACACCTGCGATCCATCAGCCTCCTTCCTCCGTGGATAAAAGGAGCTGGCTGCCAGTCACTCATTGCCCAAATGTTAACTCATGTGGTAACGTCAAGCCTTAACTTGTGTTTTTCCTCGTGCTTCTGTCCGAGCGTCTGAGTAATTGTGTCTTTCCTTCTCCAAAGGTTTTTCCTGTGTTCCCGCTCCTCGCATGTGGTTCCCTACAACCTACCTGTGCCTTCCTGGATCCTCTGTTCACAACTGGTAACGCTCCTGTTTCTCACTCTGATGTTTTGACCTTCGGGCCGCTTGTCCGTCCCAGCCGTCCACAAACCCACACTGACGTCTCCACCTGGATCAAGCTCATCGTTGCACATTATCAGCCTCTGCAACAAAAACAATTTTCCAACTCTATTTCTCTGCATGTGGGTCAGCCGCCTGAACAAAACCATGACATTTCAATTAGTCAGAAGAATGTTTTATTGCATGTTCATTGATGCATTTTCTCTTTCCAAAACTAAGAGATCAGCTAGTTCATTTCAAATCAAAACCACTAGTTAAAACAACACAATTATCAAATCCCAAATATTGGAGGTGAAGCTATTAAATGCTGAGACTGAAGCTGAGTTCAGTTTTATTTCATTGAAGCTGGGTTTTCTACATGGATAGAATCTGATACTCAGTGAATAATAAACTGAAGCTTGACTTTAATTAATGATATCGCAAATCAAATCCGAGTATCTGTCAGAAAAATCACAATTAGATATTTTGTCCAAATCGCTTAGTCCTTTTTTTTAAACTCAGACTTTCATCTGAGCTTTAAGTGAAACCTTAAAAACACTACTGTTCTTTTCTTCAGTCAGTGTTTTCTTTTCCTTATATCACTTATAGATATTTATATTTCCTTATTGTTCTTTTTCAGTTCTCAGCTGTTCAATTTAATTTGTTTCAATCAGCGAAGGCTTTTTAAAACTATTTTAATAATCAATTAATCAGTTTGAGTTATTTTTAAGGTAAAAAAAAAAGCCTAAATTCTTCTTAAATGTGAACATGAAGACATTTTAGGATTTCATCTTAAAATATGGAAAACATGAAATATCTTTGACAAAACAAGTTACTGATTAATGGAGAGAACAATCAACAGTGAAAATAATTGTCAGGTGTCCTGTTCATCGCAGCAAACACATTACACCATCAATATTATTTATTTAATGCAAAATAGTGGTGGTGTTAGCATTATTTTCACCAGACTTATGCTGCTTTAATGACAATACTTGAATATTTTTGTAATCATGTTTGTCAGCTGCTCTGAGGTGAAACAGCCTTCGGGGCTGCAGGTGGCAGCACTGAGCAGAGTTCATCCAGTCCTTTAACAAAACCAGAAAGATTATTTCCTTTTTGTTGTTGTTGTTTTTCTTAAACACACAGAATACACATCATTTTCAGTTTTCTCACTACAAACGCCGCCCTCGCCATCCTTGAGTCTTTGTGATGGTGGAAGGTAACTAAGTGCATGTATTTAAGTAAAACACCTAAAATAAAGTGTCTAAAAAAAGACTGAAAAAATCAATAAAATGCCTCAAATATTCAAAAAAAAAATGTCCAAAAACTATCAATAATATATCAATAAAAACCATGAATTAAAAAACTAATAGAATCAAAGTATATAACTGGATATAAAGGAGTTTAAAGTAGCGCCAACCTGCTGCTGATGAAAATAATCTGATCATACATCAGTCAGAAGAACAAACAGAACTTTCACTGCAAACTATGTTCTGCTGCTAAAAAAGGAGTTTTTCTATTTGTAAGGGAGTATTTTTACTTTGTTGTGTCGGTACTTTGACTCGAATAAAAGGTCTGAATACTTTTTTCTCTGCTTGAATTTGGGATGTTTGTAAGATGAAATAATAATTACCAGAATTATTAAAACTAAAGAGTCTTTAAAATGACACGTTTTTTCAAAAAATGTAAAATCACAGCTAAAGGTCAGTTTTTAAAATGACGAAAGCAGAACTAAGCACTTTTTTTCTGATGATGTCATTGAACAAACAAGCTCCTTGCAGATTAATTCTTTATATTATTGATGATATTTGTGATCAGTGTCAGCAGCAGCTGGAGTCACGTTGCTCCGTCACACCTTCAACCAACACAACACAAACCTGAGTTTGGATCAGGAGCTGTTGAGTCATGGCTGCCTTCAGTGGGCGGAGTCAGCTCCTCCAATCAGCTTCCTGTGTTGGCAGACTCACTTTATCAGGTACTGAGGAGAGTCCAGCTGAGATTAAACACTTGGACCTGCATCATGTTGCTGGTCCAAGTGTCTGTGGTGTGTTGCTGTTGTTCTGTCAATTAAATAAAATTTATTTGTGCAGCAGGTTTAAAAGGACCTGAGTGAAGTGCTGCCATCTTAACAGACGGACAGCAACGAATCAAGACACCATAGATCCAGTAAAATCACATTTCAGAACAAAGTAAAATAGAATAAAACACTAAATTAGGCAAAACAGCTTAAAACTTGTGAGTTCAATTTCCCCCAAAAACCAGATACTGATTATATTATTAACAGGTGTGGAGTTATTTGGGTTTTGAACTTCTGCCTAAACTCGACTCGGCATTGAAGACAACAGAGGACGCTGGACAACTCCACTCATTTCCCATCTTTATTTAATCTTTTCAAAAAAGGGAATCAGGTTGAGTGTTTGCTAGTTGACAACCTTAAAAAAAAATAAAAACACAAACCCATATTAATTGATTAATCCATCAACAATCATTTAAATTCTCCATTTTAATAATTCCAAATCAAAATGATTGGCACTAACACTTCATATGCTTCACATTATTCATTAAACAAACCAAATCCGGAAACCGACATCCCAACACGACGTAAATTAAATTACCAGTTACAATTGTACCCTTCAAATTCACTTCAAACTGTCTCTACATACCATAATAAAGATTTCTGACCTTCCTCCCTGCACTGGCATGAATGGCAAACAAAAGAGAACACATCCGCCCAGGACCCACTAATGAAGCCTTGCTCTCCCTTCAGGCCTGAGCTGACACACCTATCAACTCAAAATGGCAGCACTGCCCTCTTGCTGCTAGTAAGTTAAGGAACTTGGTGAAAAATGGAATAAATACATATGTACACAACACAATAACTCGATTCATAACAATAGGAATAAAGTCTAATGATTGCACAAATCTAATCAAAAACATGGAGGAAACACAAACCCTGGGACCAAATATAAACCTCACTAACAGTCATATTAGGAGATATTATGATAGTTCAACTGCTCACATCACTTCTAACAGCTGAGAGGAACGTAAAAGCAACAAAAGTCAACTTCATGAAGGCTAACAGAAAACAGTGTTTGTTTTGAACTCAGCAACCTTTGAATGTAAAATATTCATCGCATAAAATATGACCAGAATATATATATATTTTCCACAGAATGAATGGTGTCTAGAAGATGATCCTGGCATTAAATGTGTTTAAAAATGAGACCTTTCATTTGCTCTAACTTGTTCTGACCAACCGTCATCACACATGCTTCAATGAAAGTTTACACAAAATGCACTTTTTAAAGTTTTCTCTGGTGAATCATCAGAAAACAAAAACACATCCAGGGACCAACGCTTGTTTCTATCACTCTATGTTATAGACATTAGACTGCTGCAGTTTTACTGTTCAAACTAGGATGTATCCCATAATATTGATGTTCAAAGTTGGTTAAAGGGAAAATGAACAAAAACTAGATCTTTAGAATTGTGCCACCTGGATGGATGTAAAACTGATCTGGTTGCAGTTTGTAACAGAAACTGAACCTTCAATGTGTCCACCTGCTGCACTGATGAAGTCATGAGTCTCAGAAATAACAGAAACATTAAAAAGTGTGAAATCTGATTTCACCTTTGTTTATTTCATGGGCCTGTAACTCTGAAATTATTCAGAGTATGAAAGTAAAACTTTGTAGGGCTTCATTAAATATAATAAAGTTTTATTTTACTGTTATTCTTACTTCTCCGTTTGATGCATCCTGAGCTGCTCTGGTTCTGTACTGGAGGCTGAACTTATTCTTAAAAATTTTAGTCCAGGTTCAATAATCGTTTTTTTTTCTCAGGAAGGTTCCTCACTGGAAGTGTCTGACTGGCAGCATGACAGGAGCTGATCTGGTTCTCTGAAGGAAA